TATATTATAATAATGATGTTAATAATTATTATTAATTATATATAAGTATATATCTACATCGTACATTAAATCCTATGCTATATGATTATATCTAGTCAACAATTGTTTAGATTTTCGAGTTAATACACAATCCGTCCAATCCAATGCTAAGTGCCTTCGAAAGAATTTCAATATCGGACCATGTATAATCAATCCAATTAATTAATAGAAGAACTAAACACTAGTTTAGCATATTGCTCAAAACTTTATTTTTAAAGTAGATCGCAAAACTAGTGTTTCAATATCCATACTACCAAGTGGAAGCATTCAAAATACAAAAATGCATTTCTGCTAAATTTGAATTAAATGAAGTATATTATTTTGCAGTAACTTATCTAGATTAAAATAATAAACTGTTGGCACATGAAAGACAAATTTGTGTATTGAAAAGAGGTAGTTTATTAACTCAATTTATAGATAATTATTGTAATTTTTATCACTTAATTTTCGGATCAAACTGTAGATATTTAGAAAACCAAACTAATTTATTATAAGTTGTTATATTTGTTTTAGACATAAATACATAGAACCGAATGACTGGACTACTTTTTTACTAGAAATAGTAAAATAAATTGCAGTCCAGAGACTAGTTCTCTAACAGACATTTTTACTTTCTACTTAGTATGTTAATTATCTACTCAATAATAAAAGATATTCCAATTCAAAACTATAATTATTTTTAACCATTTTTATTAAATAACCATCCACTTAGTTTCTGAAATCTTGCGTACCCGGAAGATTAATCAGTGCCTTCCGAAGTCTCTTATTATCCTTTTTTATTTCAGAAATCTTGCTTAGTATTAGCAGATCCTTTTTAATAAGGAATTGTAGCTATCTTTTAATATGAATTAAAGTATAACAGGAGCTTATAATAATTTGCTAGAAACGAGGGTAAGGGCGACATCTTGTGAAGCCCGAGGGTATTCGTAAGTAATGCTGTTGAGGAACAACAAAAGTTATATTTTGAGTATAGTGATAAGGGTTTCATTAGATAGTAAAACTTATTCAAGTATTCAACTGATTTCTGTGTATTTGTTCTTATCTCATTATGTGTGTGATGTGACAAACATCCATAGTTAAATATTTTCATAAAGCTGATAAGCGTATAATACAGGATTGTACTCTGTCTACTCTAAATTATCTCCATTTAAATTAAATAATAATTATGACTTATAAATAATCGAAACCTTTTCTGCTATATAAAGTTATTTTAATTAATTCGATGTTGAATCTAATTTGGCATTTTCGATTGTATAAATATGTACAGATTCGGTTTGCAATTTTATGCATATGCGTTAAGTACGGCTCTGGCGATAAGAAGACGATTTATTTATTTACTTGGTTCAGCGCAATTATATCTCTCAAATTAGAACTTTCATAAATTTAGTAAATGAAATTAGAAGTTAGAGAAATGAATGTCTGTAGAATTTGGAAACAAAAGTCAAGTCAAATTTTACGTAAAGTCGATATTCACACAACGGTGGGTTTTTGTGAAGTTGGAAATTCAAAAGTTACAATACAAATGAAATGATTTTTTAGACAGATTTTGTAAAAATAGTAGAAGTCGGTCCCAGGGATGGTTTACAAAACGAAATCGTCTTCGTACCAACCGATAAAAAAATCAAATTTATTGATAAACTTTCCCAAACTGGACTGTGTTCTATTGAAGTCACAAGGTAATTTAAAATTTATCAAAAAAGTCTTTATAACATTCGTTATTCCAGTTTCGTCAATCCAAAATGGGTCAAACAGATGTCAGACAACAAAGAAGTGTTTAGCAAAATAGAGAAAAAAGCAAACATAGACTACCCAGTTCTTGTTCCAAACGCAAAAGGTCTTTACGATGCGGTACATAATTTAGGCATTAAAATGAAAATAACAGTATTCAAACCGTACATTTTTTAGTTAGAAGTAGGTGTTAAGGAAGTGGCAGTGTTTGCCTCTGCTTCGGAAGGATTTGCGATGAAAAACACCAACGGGTCTATACAACAAGTTTTAGATAGAATAAAAGAGGTAACAACAATTTCGAGAGGAAAAGGTATCAAAGTAAGGGCCTACGTGTCATGTGTGGTGGGATGTCCATACGACGGGCAAATTTCTCCTAAATCAGTTGCTAAGGTAACGGAACAATTATTAAGTTTTGGTTGCTATGAGATTTCATTAGGAGATACAATAGGGGTTGGAACAATAAATAGCATGAATAATATGTTAAAAGAAGTGTTAAATGTTACTTCTCCGAAAAAACTAGCGGTACATTGTCATGATACCTACGGACAAGGTCTAGTCAACATAATTGTCGGCTTAGAGGTACGCCAAATTCTTCTTCTGTTGACCAAAACTTGTTTTGATTGACCGAAAACTTTTAGAAAGGGATAAACGTAGTGGATTCGGCTGTATCAGGTTTAGGGGGATGCCCTTTTGCTAAAGGAGCTACTGGTAATGTTGCCACTGAAGATGTGGTTTATATGCTACACGGAATGGGATTGAAAACTGGTATTAATCTGGAGGAACTTGTAGAATGCGGAAATTTTATTTCAAACATTATAGGAAGGCCAACCCAGTCGAGGGCTAATCAAGCTTTGCATAAAAAAAAATCGTAATCTAAAAATATTGTGTTCAACAAGGATTCTAAAACTGTATTTGTTGTTTCTTTCTTTTTTTTGTATTGTATTGTATGTTTTATATAAATAAAAAATTATTGAGTCGATTGATTGGTCGGTTAGTTGATGTTGGGGATGTTTTTGAATTACAAAGGGTTACCTTTGTTGTTTTTATATACATTTTTAAACTATTTCAAAGGAGCGTTATTGATTTTTCCTGAACGACTTGACGGTGCAGTAATCTGTCTGTGAAACAGAACAAATTTAGTAGAGTTACACACCAAATTCGTCAATAATATTCGGTTGCCAACCCTCATTTCGTGAAGGGGAGGTTTCTGGGTTAGCATAACACTGATAAAGTTTCATACTGCCAGAGATTCGTTAGCGAATTTTTTTAAAATATTAGCGTAATAATTATGGTTTACGAACTGTTTTATAGTGCATTGAATATTTATCGTCACATTTCTAATTCAGGAAATAAACGTAACAGGTAAGTAGTCCGTCTCATTATCCTTTGGCATTTTTTTCGCTGATTTTATGTAATGGAAGTATTTAGGCCGTACAAGCGGTGAACTGAATTTACTTCACAATGAAGATAAACACGTTAAGGATGTCGACTCCTATAGAAGAAAAGGTGGACCACAAGTTGAAAGTACGAACCGGAATGGTTACGGTTAGCGATGGCAAAAGTCGTCCTGTGCCTGTACAGCTGCACTTGTCAATGGAAATATTAAGGTTACGCAAAGAGGAAATTGTCCCATCTGAACCGAAACCAATAAACGGAAAAGTAAAATTTTATATTTTAAATATTTACTAAATGATAAAAAAAAAAAACGTACCACCACAGGAAAGAATGGTTCAAATTAGAAGACAGAGGGTTGGCGGACTAGGACTAAGTATAAAAGGGGGTGCCGAGCACAAACTACCTATTCTAATTTCGAAAATCTATAAGGACCGGGCTGCTCATCAAACGGGAGAACTATTTGTAGGAGATGCTATTATAAAAGGTACATCTGAAGATAATTAAATACGTGTTATCTCATACTTTTTTTAAACTTAGTTAATGGAGAATATATAACAGCATGTCCACATGACGATGCTGTAAATATTCTTCGTAATGCGGGAGATATAGTAGTGCTTACTGTTAAACATTACCCTGCTGCAACTCCGTTTCTTCAGAAACAAGGTAAACTTTGTTTTATTAGGTACAATTGTCTTGACATTCAAACCAAACTTTCTTCTGTGAAAAACCGTAGAAGAGAAAGAGAGAAAAGAAAATCAGAACCCAGATAGCAACATGGACGATAAGGAAAACTCAGAGGAAAGTTTAAAAATTGCCAACACAAACAGCTCAAGCAGTAGACCAAGTTCGTTATATTCTGAATGCGAATTAGACACCAACGTTCAAACTAGATGGGTTGATCTGATAACATTACCTCTTATGATGGCGTATGTAACTAGATATATATTTGGAACTGATAAACTGAGACCAAACGCTTTCGAAGTTAGAGGCCTTAATGGAATAAGCACTGGAATAATTCATTGTGATGACTCTGCAGTATTGTCTCAATGGCTCAAATATATCACAGATAATATAATTGGACTGACACACCTGCAGGTTAACCCTTGATCATTACTTCAGTCCATTTCTATTTCCTTTTTTTTCTCTTTCTTTTAGATGAAGCTGTACAATCGTAATTTCAGTATAACGGATAGGATTGAGTACATGGGTTGGGTTAACGAAGGTGTAGTGAATAACAATCACCCTTGGCAAAATTACAAACCGAAATTTTTTGCCCTTAAGGGTGCCGACTTAATGCTGTTCGACACTCCGCCGGTATTTCGCGAGCATGCTAACGTCGATTTGTATTGAAACATATCATCTTCTATTGCAGTTAAACGTAATGGATTGGAGTAAATGTATCGAAACCTATAAGGTATATCAAACTATGTTTAGGGTGGTAAAAGAATCCGAAAATGTGGACGAAAGACAGCACTGTTTCTTGGTACAAACATCAGGGCAGGAATCTAAATATTTAAATGTGGAAACTAGACAGGAGTTATTGAGAATTGAAAATGCATGGCATTGTTCTGTTTGCAAAGCTGTTATGACATTAGGGGTAATCTAATTAGTTGATACATAGGTAATTGTGTCCTGTGCTTGTTTTTCTTTTTTTTTTTAGAGCAAGACATTTACTGTTAATTATAATGGTAAAACGTCCGGTTTAACTTTAGACTGGAATACAGGGTTTTCGTTACACGAAGCTGATGCCAAGAGCCCGGCATGGCAGTACAAATTTTCACAGCTTCGTGGTTCGTCTGACGATGGAAAATCCAAACTCAAGCTCCATTTTCAAGACGCTGAAACGCGTGTTATAGAAACAAAGGTACTTCTAATTACACATGTGTAGGTATTTGTAATATTTATTTATGTGTTCCGATTTTATTTCAGGAACTAGACTGTACAATATTGCAGAGTTTATTATTCTGCATGCATGCTTTTCTTACCGCTAAGGTAGCGTCTGTAGATCCAACTTTCCTCTCAATGGTACCGTGAAACACCACATTGCGATTCACGTGTTTTTTTAGCACAGTACGAACACTATTGCCTTTCAACATTCTGTTATTAGTATTTGACCAAGTCTGATTACGTGCTAGAACTTTACTTAGTAGGTAGGTAGTTATAGGGAAATAATTACAAAACGTTAGACGTAAAAATATAAATAAAATTCAACCAAAACGGCGAAACAATTCTGCACAACTCAGTTAGACTCCTAATGCAACAAAACAGCTTTTTCTATACACTTTTTTGCAAATGGACCTTTATTTCGAACAGTTTTCGTCGCTAACGGTAAGTAATAAATAAAATGCAATTTTTAATTAATTTATTAATTTTTTCAAGACTCCTTTCTTAAGTTTATCTACGAACGATATTTTTTATACTTTATTCATTACATACCTATATTCTTAAAACAGTTTGCTCATAAATTAAACATATAGTGGATAATGGTACAAACTTCTAAAACATGTCATGATTAGGGCGCCAATGTTGTTTATACATTTATAACGCCATTATCAGGGGCGTACTTGGGACGTTAAGCTACTATTTGCGGAAAGCAAGGTACAAACACATGCCAAAGTATATTTGGCGAAAATGAGGTTTTTGTTGGCCTAAGTATGGACCCCATATGTACAAACGACTTCTGTTCCCTAATCATAATAAATTAGACAATTAAAAAAAGTAGAAATTCAATGTTTTCATGCTTTTTTGTTTTCCTTTAGGATGGTAGTTTTAACGAAAACAACGTTCCTTATTATGTAACACGCGTGTTACATTTATTGTTACAAGAATTAATAATTAATTTATATAATATTCGGGTTTACTGTAGCGTAGGGTTTCGTTATTGATAAAGGTGCCTCATCGAGTACAGTTATACCATAAATAAAAAACGTATAGAAACAATCTGTCGAAAGTATTCAGATTTCAAAAACGCAGAAAAAGGTGTTTACGTACACATTACAGAAAAGAAGTCAATAAATTTTATATCTGTTAATTGTACTCCAAAATTATTTTCTACTTTTTTGTGACAGTTAAAATACTTTGATAGATTTTTATTAGTTATTATAGTAGGTACGAAAATTGTTTGTTCTTATTTGGAAAAGTGCAGCAGTACGGTAGGACCAATTGACATTAAAATGTGCGCATTTTTGGTTTGTTTAGATCCTAATTTTACAAATAAAACATTAATAATTATATGGTAAGTAAAGTGCAAAATGTTAAATCAATTTTTAGAGTTTTTGGAAAGTAAAATTACCAAATTAGATATTGTGCATATCTAGAGTTATTAAAAAAAAAAACATAAAAACATGGTAATGGTTGTGCAAATGAACTTGTTATATTAAATTAACATACCTAAAATGTTGTTAAACTTTTCTAAAAGAGAATGTAATGAGGTGTTGAATATTTATTGTTATATACTGCTCTAGTGATGTGTAAAGTGTTGCCCATTTATTATAATAACATTGCCTTTTTTGTAGTTTCTTTAGAGTCTATCATCTTTGCGGTTCATTAGGGAGTAAGAATCTTGACGTTTATAAGTATAAATATAGAACTTTGACTTTAAAACTGCGTAGATACAATGAGAAACGATTGGTTGTATTAAAGTAGTCGAAGAACCAACCCCAGGCACTAATTGGTAACAAGAAACAAATACAAAATGTTGTCAAACCTAATCACGAGTCTATTTCGAGTTGACAATATAAATTTATTAGCGAAACTTTGTCTTATTTATAATTCCCTTAAATTTAACATATTGTACATATACATATTGATGTGGCGGCAATTAAATAAATATTTATTTTAATAAAAACCTTTATAAGAACCCTTGAAATCCTTTGGCCTGCTGTTCGTCAAGCTTTGGCAGATTTTGGTGTATGACTTGTTCCATATTTACCCTGTCTAGCGTTTCCTGGATTCTGGACTTAATCGGAGATTCTAATGCGTCCATTATCTGGTATCTTAGAAGATTAGGGAGAATATTCACTCCGAATTCTATCAAATAATCCACCGTTCCGGCTCCATCGAACCTAACTTGAATGTTTCCCAGTTCTATCTGTATGTCGTCCAATATTGGACCTTTTCTTACGTCTACATTTTGCTCAACGACAACAAGTACCTTTAATAAAATTGTATGTAACGAGGTAAATTTTTATAGATCGTGTTCATAGATTTTCTTACCGTTATGTACTCCACTGTGAATTTAATTTTACCAGCCCTAGATAGCATACCGATTAAGGAGACCTCCCAATGACTTGTCCCTTCTAATCTTTGCGTCCCGACTTCCATGTTAATGTAGAACGTGCTGTTTTGTAATTCGACTGTGATATTTCCGACTCTGTGGAAAGAAGATAATCCTGTTATCCACGTATGGGTCATGAAGATGGTGCACAATCCGACTGTTTGATTATAATCGTCCACTTTGTATGGGTCGTATCCCATGTCTCTGACTTTTCTCCTTGCTTCAGCCATTAGTTGATCCAGAGGAGAAATAGAATTGGGGAATTTTTGTGGGATTTTTTGCACTTCCTTGTTTACGTCTTTTCTGACATTCGTATTTACTTCAGTTAACAGGAACGGTTTTATTGAATCGAACACGAAGGTACCAACGGAATTCATAACTCCTTGAAACACACTTGCCAAGAATCCTAATCTTTCAAAATTCATCGAGATGTCTTTGAAGTTTATGTCCATGTTCATTTCTTGGGCTTCCAAATGCCCTCCTCTCTCAACTTCCAAACGGGCAATGCCCTTTACAAAAACGTTAGTAAGATTTACTGTAAAAGGTCCATTTGATGACGATAGCCAAGTGCTTAAAGTGTAATTTCCAAAAACGTGAAGTTTTTTAATGTTTATCCTAACTTCCACTTGCATAGCCGCTAAATCGACTAGCATGTGATCGATTCGAAATTTCTTCAATCCGTATAGTTTTACATTTTTCATATTCATTCGTCCTACAGAAAATGAATGGGTCATGGGAGGTATGTCCATGGGATCGGGTATCGGAGCTCCCGGTAGTCCTACAGGATCTTTCTGCTTGAAATGCTCTAATATTGTTAGAACGTAGTCGCTCAACTTTTTCTCAACTTTTGCAATTGTTTTGCTATCTGAAACGGCATCTAAAACACATGACACAATTAAATAATTATTATCAAATATTTCTTAATTAAATGTATACCTGAATTAATACTGATGGGACACAAAATTATTATATAAATAAGTGAATAAATTAAAAGATTGCCCATTGTTCGTGGGCTCTAAT